TTGTCCTTGTAGTTCCATTGTAACTCATTCATTAAGAAAGCATCTGTGATCACCAGAGCACAACAGATACTCATTAAATACTGGTTGTAGACCTTTATACCATAATTGATGCCATTCTCCAAATACAGAGGTCACTAGAACTTCTTGTAGTCACCTCTTCTTGAAATTTCATCTCCCAATTACTGCTCCATCAACAGGAATTCCAAATAAAGGCAGCACATTTTGTGGGCCCATGAGGTAGCTGCTCCTCACAACTGCACTTGCTGGTCCCTCCAAGAACTAAACCAGGCTTGGGCTTGAAACACCAAGACCCACTGATGAGTTGTTGCCCTGAGGAGACAACTGGGAGGGCTGCAGTTACGGGAGCTCTCACCCCCTCTTGTGGGGGCTATCAATCTGTAAGGTAAGATATCCACACTAAGATCCAAGGACAGACTTCTTGATTAAACTTCATAAGTCTTAAGGTCTAGAGCAATGGAAATTAACTGGTCTCTACCTTGAGGTAAATTGAATTATTCAGGCTTCCTAACCCCTGGAACCAGGACTTTAAGAACTATTGGGCTCTTGAGTAAATAAATGGGTCATTCTCATGAAAATAAGTTGTTACCATGGAAATGAGCTTTCCTTACCTATGCATCTCAAGGCTTTCTGTGAGGGAAGGGAAATCAATGACCAAGACAAAATGAAGCTAGCATTCAAACTACTGTCCATTTCTAGCCTCAGATGTCATCTGCAGATGAAATGAGAACAGGGAATGCTAAAATAACCTTCTGAGAAAGACGGAGGAAAGTCCATTTTCCATTTAAGTTCCAGCTTGAGCATTTGAAGTTTGAGGCACAAAGGCATTGTAAATAGCTGTTCTTTTAAAAACAATTGCTAGTTTATTCCAGTTTGAAGATATGAATGAATGAAACAGTTTCAAACATAACTTATCTGTCACTTTTTTAATTTAATGACTGATCTTTCTCTTCTGTGGCCACTTTAGAATTTTCTAATCTTTCTGGGGTGGGCTTTCTCCCTCCTGAATTACATTTTCTTTTAAAAATAATGAAACTTATTGTAGCCACATAAATTCAAATTATTCTGTTACCAAGATCAACACCCAACTTTCTTCCTAATTTACTATGGAAAAAAAAAAGGCATTTTGCAGTATGGATTTCAGAATGTTCCTAAGTTTCAGGATGTTCCTAGTGCTCTCTGGAGAGTGGCGCAGAGTATCCATGGAAGAAAGATTATCGTTGGGGCCAGGTTATGGTGCCCTTTAGAGGGAAAAGACTACAGACAAAAGCAATAGACTCAAATTTGAGAATTAATTTTAAAGCAAGCCTTGTTTCTTGGTAGCCCCCCTCCCTCACCCATAAGTGAAATACCCATTGCAAAACCAGTGGAAGGATTAGGTGGTGATTTAGGACCTTCTCACTGAGTGTTCACAGTGCTCCAGTCACTTTTGGCTCCTACATGACCGTAGGGAAATACTCCCTCTAGCTATCATCTCACCTGATTTCTTCTAATGTATAAATTAAACGTGTGCATAAGGGTTTGGGGATAAGTGGGTAAAAGTGGGTTTTCCACATTTTCTTATGTAGTCAGTGTCGTCATTATGAAAGTAGTCAAGTAGCTAAGTTTGAAGGAGAGTCACTTTTCTATCACCTGCTGAATTCATAGTGCATACCATAGTGTCCTCCAGTTCAGTAAAACTGGACTATTATTTCCTATTAAAAGGAAATGTCTGAAGTTGGAAAAGTATGCTTCTTGTTGACTCAAGAGTAGAAAAATCCTTCTAGTATTAATTCTTTTGTTTGACACCTCCTCCATAAAGAAATGTCTTTTATCTCCTGTACTGAAACATTTACATGGAAGGCAAAAGAAGGAGGGGGCAAAAGAGCTGTGGGCCAAGTGACTGAAGTGACAGTGGCCAATCTGGACTTGTCAACCTTAGAAAACCTGACTGGCAGCATCTGGTGATACCAGATCTTACTAAAACTCTCACAAAGACATGCAATCTCTAAGGAGAATAATAAGGATGCAACAGAACAATCTCAATCCTAGATTCCTACCTGGGCCATCTGGATAATGCATGTATTGTAGGCCAAGGGTGAGTTTCCACCTACTAAAAATAAATTCAACACCAGATTTTCAGGGAATAGACAACTTCCATCAGAATAATTCTTACAAGCTGAATTTTTATTTTTACTAAATTGTCTATGTTTAAAAAAATCTGTGCCTGGTGTGGAATTTCACTCCATCAAGTGTTACAATGACTTTCTCATTTTCATTACAAGCAGGAGAATGAATGTAGGACAAGTGTTAGGAGACATGGCAATAAATTAGAATATAATTTACAAAAGCAAAAAAAAAAAAAAAAGTAACAGTGTACCACATTAATACTGAATATAAAATAATAAGCAACAACTAATCACAATTAATACAAAGGTAATTTCATTCTGTATTATCAAGGATATTTATGTGACATTCACTCAAAAAATTTCCTAAATGAAATGGGCTGTTTGTGGAGTCACACGAATCTCAAGGGGTTTAATCATTTGGTACATTTACCTTTCCTTTTGGGGGAGGACTTGATGCCAGTAGAAGACACTGCACTCAACCATGAGATACTAGTTTCCTTGGGATTCCCTAAGTAGTCTGTATAGCTCATGACTTTTGGCTTAGCCTCTGCCAGACACCTATTGCTATTTTAGGAAAAGAGCTTCATGTAGCCTCATGGTTGGCTCCAGAGTAGCAGCGGTACTGTGATGTGCTGTGGAATATGCTCCTCCCTCCCCCTCCCACTCAACTTGAAATTTAGGGTCTGTCTGAAGATGATTAGTCTGTTTAATCCTGTCACATTCTGTGCTTAGTTTCTTCCAGAAAGGTAACCTGATGCTGTCCCTCAGCACCCTCTACCTCCTGATCTGGGCACTGGTACACACCCCAGTGGGAACGCCAGCTGTCCTCCTCTTCTAGCACCAGTCCGGGTGCTGCACAGTGCCCCGGGAGATAGTTTTCCCAAAGTTAGTCTCCAGGGAGAGCAAAATATAGGCCTTTAGTCAGTAACGCAAAAAATCACTTTGAAACAAAAACATGAGCTGATATTTATACTAGAGGAAAGCAGATCCTGATAGCACCTGTGTCACAAAGGCCACAGAAACCACCCACTTTTTGTTTCTCTATTTCTACTCACCAGGGCACATTAGCACCAAGTTAACTACTCTTTGCTAGCACCCAAGGATTTTCAGTGTTGGGCTGTGCTAAGGGGCTGCTTCCCCTCACAGGAACATTTGAGAGGGCACTTGGTCTGGTGTAAGGGCAGCATAGAGAGGGACGTTGGCAATAACTCCCCTGGACCATCATAGCTATCTCTGAAAGCTCAGGACCACGGGCTGTGGTGGTGAGAAAGAAAGCAGATGAGGAGATGTGGATGACCTTGACTGAGAGTGGGGAGCAACATTGTGTTGACTGTCCACAGCCAACTTAAAGTGGAGGTTGGTTTTTGAAGTCTGTGAGTCTCTTTTCCTTTCTGGAAAAACAAAACAAAACAAAACAAAACAAAACAGTCATCTGCATTAGGACCTGGTCTATGTGATACACCGGAGATGTAGTTTCCGAGCACAGTGATGAATTGAAAGCAAACATACTCTTTAACTGTAAATAGTATCTTACACAAGTAGCCATTTGGCTTGAGTTGAGCTGTTGGTGTGGTATGGTGCACACTCGTGTAGCACAGAAATGGACGCGTGTTGGACATAGAGCACATTGGAGAGCCAGCTGCAAGCTACAAGTGTTCAAGTACAAAATACAACAAACAAGTCCCCTCTTTCTGTTCTTTCTTTTATAAAACTGCATTATCGAATCTTTTGATGAGCAGGACATAAAACTTGGGCTTTGGGAAAATATGCACTAGCCAATTTAACTTAGGTGGATTTGATTCTAGAAGCTGACTTGCCCTAGAAACTGGGTTTCACATTTAATTTTCATTCAGAGTATCCATAAAAAATACAAAATACTCAGGTGAGTGATTATTAAAATTATACCTTATGATCCCTCGTCTTCTTCATGAGTTTTTCTTCTTTGGTTGTTATCCCTTGCCTACTTCAAAACTCAGAGAAATAGCACATTGCTGTGCAAACACACTCACCTTCACACTCACCACACACTCAAAAGCGCCTGCACACACACACATGCACACACACACACATTTGCTCCCATATAAATAAATGCCCTTCTGCCATATCAAAGAAGGTACATCTGGAACCCATCATCATTGTCAGCAAAAGGTCTGCCTGGTTGGTACTGTGCCAGTCTCTCTTTTGCTTGGTATCATCTCAGTAAGCTTGACATGAATGCAACAATCCAACAGGCAGAAGCCGGTCTGTGGCCGGAGAGGATGTAAACACAAGGGAGGTGGGAGACTCAAGTAAGAACTAAGGCATCCTGTGTGAACGCAGCAAAGGGCCTGGTACTTCAGTCTCTACCATACCCCAGGTCTGGCTTCTGTATGAAATTCGAAATGCTTTTCCCTTAAAGTTTTAATGGAAATCTCAGCTTCACTTGCACAATGGCAAGTTGGCCACAGTCTTTTAGCACTGAATTTATAGACTTGCACAGCTGCAGTAACTGATGCACTGCTTTAAACTAAGTCCTTCATTGTTGTTCAATTTAATATAGTTTATATATGGCTCACAGCAGTGTTCAGAATGGGGGATTATTCCTAAGGAAATTAAGTGGAATGAAGAAAAAATAATACAAACTTTCATTACTTTGATTTATAATTGCTCCTTAAATTACAGCTCAAAGCCTGTTTTAGAATTGAAATTGTGGTGCTGTTGTAGTGAAATAAAGTATAGTAAATATTTTTAAGCTATGACTTAAGATTTCTGAATCTTCTTACTTCCATAGTTGACCACGTCATAACAGCTACATCTTAAACAGTTTTAAATACAAATGGATTCAGTGTCATTGCTAAGTTCATAATAAAAATTATCTTAATGGTCCAAGGAGGTAAACAGGCTATTGGATTTACTCGAAAGAACACAAACATTCCACAGCAAGCAAGTCTCCCTGTGTTGTTTGGATCTCTCCAATCTGGCATTCCCTCCTACTACCGTGTCCAGCACTTTGGATCAATAAATCCCACTTCACAGAAGTTAAAATAATATTGAAATCCTGTCAGCTACAGCTGACCAGTGGTTACGTTCTCCACAGGGTAATGCATTCGTAAGGACATCAGTCCTCTTCCTTGGGGTGGCTCTCTACGACAGACACATTTCCACGATGAAATGACAAGGCTCTCTCTGGCTTTCCGTGGGTTAGTGTCCTTGGCAGGTCTTACAACACATCTGTCTGAAGTATGCTCGACTGCAGAACTTGAACTTCAGCACCAGTGGGCAATAAGCCACTTTGTTCACATCTTTGCACTCTAATGAATAGGGGCAGAAAATGGAAAACCATTAAGGCACATAAACAAGTACGTAAATAAGCCGATGAGCTTGGATGTTCAGCAAGGCCACTCCCACCCAATCCACCTTGGCTTTCCTATCTGTGTGGGTTTTGTTTTTGTTTTTTAAGGATACCCTGTCTGGTACAGCCTACTAGAAACATTTTTTGATATATTTTAACACAAAATTTAAAAAATGATTGCAAGGCTTTTCTTCCAGACTTTTATAAGTATGGTGCATGCCCACTGTGTCTTGAAAGAATTACCATTTGTTGGGATAAGTGATCACTTTAGACAGCTTGGAAACATGAGTCATTTTTCTTACAGCACTTTTATTGCTTCTTTCTCAAGGGTTATTTTATTCAGCAGTGCAAGGTTATCCAAAATCAAACATGAGTTGCATTGCTTGATACCAAAGTGCACATGTCTCAAGAGACTCTCTGCATCTGTGAGGCCTGGGGATGGGTCTGCGTGAATGAAAGGATTGCTGACAGTGGCCTAGTTTCAGCAACTACACTAGACAAAGAGGAAAACTTTGAGGGGTTGGCCTCAAATGGCAGCAGTCTGTGGGTTATGGAAACATGTAGAAATGTCTTTTTTTAATTTGGAAGTGAGACATGGCCTTCTTTTTTCCTATGTGTATTTTCTCCTCAGTGCTAGAATTGCCACACTTGAAGCCTGTAGTTCTTGTAGCCAGAGGTGAATAAATGATTCTTTTTCTGTCTCTCCTGAAGCTGGTTACAGAATTGGGGCTAAGGGGCCAGAGCGGAGCAAGGGACTCAGGTCTTTGATTTGCGCAACCCTGCTGCTGTTTCCATAGAACCCCACTACTACTATTACCATGTAATACTGTTGTTCTCTAGTCCTACAGTCACTTTTATCTGGGGATTTTAAAATACTTTGTAAACCTAGTAATTAAATTTCCATATGCCTCCAAGAATCAAAGTTCCACCCTCATTTTTCCAGGTGGTTGTACTGAAGCATCCTGGGTAAATTGTTTAAGGTAATTCAAATCAGGCAGAACACTGGAAAAAGTTCAGTGTAAAAGGTTAGTTTTGTTGTTGTTTGTTCTTTTATTTGCTTGTATTTCCCCCTAGCTTTAGAAATCCACTAAAGTTCTAAAAGACCATGTTTGTGGTCTTATACCACATGATAAACTTGGAAAATCTAATATATAGAAATGAAACGTTTCAAGTTGTCATTACCGAAAAGTTTAAGGTAATAATTTTATTGATCTCATTTTTAAGCTTCTTTGAGTGAAAGACTTAGAACTCTCAATACTCTGAAAACCTAAGCTTTGCCATCATCAAACTCCCTTACTCAAAATTTGATTTAGAAAGAGAATAATAACATTTTTTTAAAAGATGTATTTACATATGCATACATAACGTAGGTACAGCCAGAGTTGTTGGGGTGAGAGGATTCACCAGGAACAGAGTGGGGAGCAGAACAGGCAGAATGATGAAGTACACTGCTGAGGGGAGCAGCAGGCAAGACAGGAGAAGTCTACCCCACCATGTGGGTCACTTCTCTGGCCAGGGATAGAACTCATGCTGCAATGGCTGCAGACAGCTTTGTAGTGCTGCACCTGTTGTGCCACCAGGGAGGGCCCTAGTTAGACATTTAAACAGAAACCTTCTATACTAGAATGCTTGGTAAACTTAAGCTTTGACTGAAGGAAGGTAGGAAATACATGAGAAATTTCTTTAAATTTTGTACTAACAAGAGAAATCTTATTTTTGGTGATTCAAAATTGAATTTGAGATGAAAGAGATGCACGTATTTTCAGATCACTTGCTATGTTTTCCTTTCCCCTCTATCATATCATATAGTAAAAAGCAGCTAAAAAATGATTTTAAGAATGTTTTTGTGGAAAAATTTATCAGTGCTACCAAGACCGACACATTGTCAAGGTAATACAGTTACTAACATGATGGGAAAAGCTGAGTTTCAACAATAGAAAGCTGACACAGCCTCCCTCGCTTTTTATTCTTCATCATTGTCCTGATGGGGCAACCCACCAGTGAAGACCACTGCTCTCTTACCCTGCAACAGGCAGGGTGCACTACTTACTGTACAAGATAAACTTGAGCTTGGCCTTCTTTACCAAATATAAAATATATTTAATTGATAAAAGAAGACTGATTGTTTCAATATTACAAGAAAATAAAATGAGTAGTAAGACTGCCTGGGTTTAATGTTAGCTTCATCTTTTACTAACTTCACAACTCTGAACAAATCACTTAATCTCTCTGTGCCTAAATTTGATCTGGAGACAGATGATGAGAAAAATCTACTCACACATGTAACGTGTGTGTCCTGTGGTATCACCTAGAACACAGAATAGAAAGCACTCAAGGACTGTTAAGATGTTGCATTACTATTAACTAGCATCACTGTTAGTTACTATCTCTCATCACCTGAGAGTTCCACTCTGAGCCTCTTAGTAAGGTTACTACTGATAAAATGTTATCCTATAGACACAAGTCAGTTTGAAGACAAAACAAAGAAGACTATTTGGTAGGACATATCTAGAGTGAAAAATGCACTACTCCAATTTCTGAAAGAGTTGATAGGCCAGGAAGATTTTGAGAAGAGCAAAATAAAAACAAATCCAGAGACTTTTTAGATTTAGACTTTGGTTAAATAATAGATGATGAAAATGAATAAAGTAAAATATCCACACTTTTTTCACCATTAACTACCCCTTCATCCATTCCACCCACCCATTCAGGCTATTGCAAGTATAAAGAGTTGGGGACTCTGCAAGTATAAAGAAGTGGTGTTGGATGTGAGAAGATTCTTTCCATGTAAGACTCAGAGAAGAAAGTCTTGCCCAGGGGGTAGGCTGGAGGCCATGGGGAGGTGGGCCCCTCGATACTTCTATTAAATTCTTTTCCAACTAACTTGATTCAGACTGATTGACTGAGAGCAGAGGGTGGTCGGAGTCCTGGGAGCAGGGTCAAGCTAGGGAGGTGGGGGGGGTCCTCATTAGTACCCTGGGACCCGCCTGCAAGGGTGCGTACCACAGCCTCAGGGATGGAGGTCTCAAGACTGGTGCTGCCTCCTCCCAGTGTTTATGTGTTCTCTGCCAAGTTACTTCACCTCTCCAAGCCTCAGTTTCTTCATCTGTGAAACAGAGGCTGGAATAAGACATGTTCCTACAAGATTGAAAGGCTCAGGGGAGGTGACATGTAGCAAGCACCCTATGGTACCTGTAGAGGAGCTCTCATTACCAAGACACCGGCCTCTGAGAACAACCATATGTGTTCTCAGGGATCCCTGTCAAAGCGCAGTAGGCTCTGGGGAAGAGTTACATGTTTGCACATATGGGCAAATTAACAGACATCTATTCAACAGAGAGCAGGTGAACCAGGATAAGGGAGTACAGAAAGACACTGGGGGAAGAACCAGGGCTTGGGGACTGCTAAGACAATGGGCTTCAATGAGACAGTGAGGTGGAGACTTTGGGCTACATAAGGGCATTGAGCCTTGATGGAGGGAGCGTGAGGAAGGCCCCACTCCTACTTCTTGAATTGCCTTCTAGGAACTGCCTAGCCTAAAAGAATTAGTTTTTGAAATGATTTAAATCTGTTTACCGAAGGTCAACACTGACTTATCTTTCATTCCCTCAGCATTTTACCTCTCCAAGAGTTTAATCTAGTAAAGATATCATTAAAAATAATCTTTCAGGTGTCTCTATGTGCCAGGCATGGCTTGGGTAGTTTCACACATTTATACATTTAATCCTTTGAATGTATCTAAAAGGTCAAGTTCACAGAAACAGCATGAGTGAAGCTTAAAAGGATCACAAAACTCAAGAGGGGTGGTTCAGTGAGTTGTCTATGAACTGGGACCAGACCTTGGGTGAATCTGACTCCTCAACCACTTTGTTTTGGCAGCATTCTTGGAAGGAATGTAAATACATGGAGGTTTCCACCTCGCAGTGCTTCTTTTCTTAGCTGATACCACTAAGGAAAAGTCAGCCTCTGGGCAGAAATGTCAGGTGGTTTGCGCTATCACCTTATAAGGGAAAGTGTCTTGAAGAAGATGGCTCTCAGTCACAGACATACCAAGCAGCCTGAATTATCCCTTCCAACTTTCCTTAGCTATTCTTTCCTCTCTTAATTTTGTAAAACTAACATGAGTGAAATATGCATATGGACACACCAAAAAGTTTTAAAGCCCTGTTATTACAGAACACTGAAAGTAATCTTTAAAAATATCAGTATCAGGGCCTTCCCTGGTGGTGCAGCAGGTTAAAGTGCAGCACTAAGAAGCTAAAGCCACTTCCACATGAGTTCAATCCCCGCCTGCCCCGGAGGTGACCCACAAGGTGCGGCAGACCTCTCCTGACCCGCCCACTGCTCCCCTCAGCAGTGCACTTTGTTGATCTGCCTGTTCTGCCCCCAACTCTGTCTCTGGTGAATCCTCTCACTGTCCCAGAGCCTCTGGCCTGTACCTCAGTTCTATATGCATAAATAAATAAATCTTTTAAAAAATCAATTAGCAATTTTAAATTATGTTTGGCTCATTTGCCATTTTTTTTTTCCCAGCATAGTTAGCTCATGGGCATTTTGCTGATTTGGTTGAGAGGACTTCATTACAAAATATGTCATGCAGTACTCTACATTATCCTCAAAACCAATTGAAAAGATGAAAAAGTCTTTTCACTGCCCCCTACTCCCCACTCCCTTTAGGCAGTACAGTATAGCTTGCACTTGTGATGAAAATCATTCTGGAAAAATTGTACATAAGCCAAATCACATTTTCCTATTGAAATAAAAAGTAGAAATGTTCTGCTTTGATTTCTGAATGGCCACTGGATAGCACTGATTTCTGGACAATGCTTCACATATTTAAAAAGTAGGTTCCTTTATACCTGCAACTGAACAGATTATGTAATCTAAGATACTTGTTAAAAGGACAGTTTAGTCTAGGTAGACTCTTTTGTAATATAATCACTCTGTGATTGATCTGTT